CCATTCCACAGGCTATTGATTCTTCGATTGATCATTGAACATCGTAGACATTACAGAGAGGCAATCGTCCTGCGAGTTCCAATTATTCTTGTGGAACACGGTTGGCGCAAATTGATTTTCTGCGCTTTGGTGGTAATGCAATTCAACAATGGATATATCGATGTGAAACATATTTCACAATTGATGTCGCGCTTGAGGATGTGTGTGTAAAATTGGTTATCATTCACTTTGAATGAAGACACTACAATGGAATACCGCATTTGTGCAAAATCTTCCAGGAGGTAACCTTCCTACTCCGACTGAATTTACAAAAAATTTAATAGATCGTTTTGGGGAAATATGTGATGATCCAATTTCAGAACTTATGCAATTACGGTATCAGGGTACAAGGTTAAAATACCATGATCATTTCAATGCCTTACTGATAGAGGAAAACTGAGGCCCACTTGTTAAGCTGTTTTTTAGGAGGGTTTAAAAAGGACATTCAAATGATTGTTAGAATGCTTCAACCTTAGGAGGGCTAAACTATATGAATCAGCTTCTGCTTCAAACATCCCTACCAAAACCTTTCCTACACTCCCAAAACTACAAACTCCTACAAAAGCCATTTTACCTACACCTAATCCTATACACAAACCTCCCGATTCCCATATTCAACTAAACACAAGAAGAGGATAGTAATTGAGGACACATGAATGATACGAAGGTGTAAACGGTGGATCAAATTGAGGACACTCAAGAAGAGGATAGTAATTCCTTGGATCCTCAAATATCAGTCAATGCTTTAACGGGTATAACTAGCTATAAAACCACGATAGTGATGGGGTACTATAAGAACAAACCCTTGCATATACTCATTGATATCCATAATTTTCTAGATGAGGAGGTGGCTAAGAAATTGGGTTGTCCTATCACAAATATTCCCACCTTAAGTGTGGAAGTAGCGGATGGAGCTAGGGTAACCATTACTTCAACTTTAAACAGTTCTCTTCGACGCTTCACAATACTGATTTTTCCTCGGATATGCTTCTTATACCCTCGGGATATTGTGATGTGGTGCTAGGTATTGAGTGGTTGGTGATAACTCCTACTTTAATAGACTAAATGCATCTCTTGAGTATTTCTTTCGTTCTTAATCTTTTATTTGAGCTTGGTTTTACAATTTCTGGAAAGTTAAGAATTTGAAATAAAAAGAATGTAAAAAGATTAATTTCTCTAATTAAAAATTACATTTTATCAGTTTTGACTTTTGCTTACTACTTTGTTTATAATTTTTTCTATAGATCTCCAAGAGTTGATTCTTTTTTAATTAGATTCTAGACTCATAGAGCTTCAGTACTAGAAAATAATTGTTTGAGTTCTAAGGAAGTTGTAGCTTTATTTTGAAAATGGAAAACAATATGCAAATGCAGGACATCGTAACTCACAGACATATGCTCACAGTTTGGCTAATAACATTTTACACAGGTGTCCAATTGATCTAGTTCCTTTTGTGTTGGATTCTAGACTTCAAGATCTTTAAGTTGAGTACTCATACGTAATTTGTGGAAGTCTGAGCGAAATGCAGATGATGTTTCAAGATGACGCATTTTACAAAGGCAGAGACAACATTGTCACGTTGGTCATTAGCCCCACACGGTTTCTAAGCTGTTTTCTCGAGTTCTTTTTATTTGCTAATTGGATTTCGGAGATTCTAAGCCGTTTTAACATGTCCAATCAATAAAAGTGCATAAGTTTTTCATGAAATTTAATTTTGAATATCAGTTTTGGCCATCATAGACCATATGTGAGATTTCAGCCTAAGTTTTCCTTTCTTTTGTGAATTCACTCATGTTGCTAACATTCCAGAACTTACATTGACTCTATTTGACATAACTTGTTTTTAGATGCACTCTTGAAATGATCTTGGCCATCTTTATTTTAAGCTACTAGGCCAAATAAGTCTACCTTGAACGGATTTTCCTTTACACCTAACTTTGAGCCTTATTGACCTATTCTTTGATGATTTTTTATCTCCATACAAGCCCTTAACCAGAAAAACCTGTGGTCACCTGACCTTTGAGTTGTGAGGGCCTTTCAAAGTGTTTCGGAAAGCTTTTTGTGAAATTCAAGTGTGGGGGATATATTCTGAACCAGTAAAAGCATTTGAGATACATTGAATGAATTTGGATTGTAGTTTAAAGCTGGAAAAAAAACTTGAAAAGAAAGTGGTCTAAGCTGAAAAGAGAATGTTAGAAAAGGAATTAGAAGGAAAATGTAAACGAAAAGAGAAAGTGATGGTATGAATTGGATAAAGGTGAAACATGGATCCTACACTAATTGTTCAATATTTTCTCCATTGTTTCCTCACTTTTCTTTGGTTTTTAGCTCTGAACCTTTCTCTTTATCCTACCTTCACCTTCATCACATTACTAGCCATGATTAAGTCATTTTGATCTTGAGTTGTATTTTTGACAAAGTAGAGGCTCTTCAAGCTTATGGTAGTGCTAATTTTCATGAAGTCTTAGTGTAAAATTAAACATGAAATACATGAAAATCTGATTTGAATGATTTTTGCTGCACTTGAGTTGTTTGAATTGCTTTTGACTAGTTCAGAGTTTTGAAACTTTGATTAGTGATTCTCTCTTGCTCTAAGTTTTTGCAGCTATGCAGTGATAGGGTATCTTGTGTAGTTTTGTGAAAAGCTTTTGAAAAAAAAACCCTGTTTTTGTTTGCCTTCTTTTAGTCTCTACTTAGTTTTCTTTTATTTTACCCAGAGTGCAGAAGTTGTGGAATGTCATAACTCTTCATTTGTCTCCCTACTTTTATAGACTAAATGCTCTCTTAAGTATTTCTTTTGTTCTTAATCTTTTATTTTAGCTTGCATTTGCAATTTCCGGAAAATTAAGAATTTGAAATTAAAAGAAGGTAAAAAGTTTAATTTCGCTACTTAAAAACTGCATTCTCTCAGTTCTGACCTTTACTTATAACTTTTTTTACATATTACCAGTTGAGTTGATTCCTTTTGTATTAGATTCTGGACTCACAAATCTTAAATTAGAGTACTATAAAATAATTTTTAGAGTTCTGAGGAAGTTGCGGCTTTATTTTGAAAATGCAAGACAATATGCAGAAACGATAAGAGGCTTTAAAGTTAGTCAAATTTCACATGAAGAGGGCCCAAGAACGAGTGAAGAAATTGGCAGATAAAAACTGAAGTGATAGATATGAGGTTGGTGCTCTTGTGTATGTCAAGCTCCAACCCTACAAACAGATTTCAGTAGCATTTCGGGCTAATGCCAAGTTAGCACCTAACTACTTTGGGCTGTTTCTTATCACCGATACGATTGGAGCGGTAGCTTAGAAGCTACAACTTCCACAGGTGTCTAAAATTCATGATGTCTTTCATGTATCACAACTTAAAAGGCATATTGGTGAGGCCACGGTAGCAAGTTTTCTTCCAACCGATTCGAATAGTAAGTTAGATGATCCATGTATACTCTCTTAATAATAAGCCTTTCATGGAAAACTCTGCTCTGATCTTTAGATACTGCAGATTATATTTAAGAAAACGTCATACACAGAAGGGTTTCAAGCTGGAACCCAGATACTTGTGAAGATCACAACATCAACACTACAGGTTCAATATTTCATTTTATGATTCTACCATATATACTGATTGAACATTCATTCAAGAAAATGTATGGCACTGAAGAGATATTTGTTAAACTTGTTTGGTAAAATATCTTTTCTCAGTTGCCTGTGAAACATATGTTCAAAATTATCTTATAATTATCTCACACATATAGTGGAAGAAGATGTTTTTCATTTTCTTGATTCGATGCTGATAGTCATAATATATCATGTTAAGCTGATCAGACAATCAATCACATCTAAATTTAGGTGAAATTACAAGCTAATTTTTCCGACAGCAGATATATATTATTCAAAGCAATACATTTCCAAATAAGGCACAGACATGCAAGCTACACACAATCAGAAGTTATTTTACTGTCATAAATCATTAGCAGTATGAGAAGCACCATCTTCTTGAGAATCACCAAGCTCATCACATGCACTATCATAATCAGCTTCATCTGAGTTACCACTTGCACTGTTCTCTACACCAGCTGTAGGGTAGAGAGAAGATTCTACGAGGTACTCCGGGCGCAGAGGAGAACGAAAGTATGGTGATGGTGTTGAAGACAATGATGTTGATAGAAATTCAACATGCGAGTTCAAATTATTATTATTATTCAATTGAAGCCTGCAAACTGGACATGTTTTGCTGCTGTTAAGCCAACGAAGAATGCATTCGGAACAATAGGTGTGGGTGCAGGGTAACCGGTATGCTTGATCACACACTTTAAACTCATCCATGCAAATGGGACAGAGAAAGAGTTTATCTGTCTCTGATACTCTTACCCTGCTAAGGCCATTCATGGCAATCGTTGAGCATCCACTATTATCACCTTCAAAAACATGACTTATATTGGGAGATTGAAGCCTATCCTGCAGTACTTCTTCGTTAAGAATAGCCCAAACCCCACTGAGATCAAGCTGATGCTGTTGCAGCAACAGTGGCCGTGCAAAATCTGGTGGTGGCGGTGGTGGTAGAAAGCGCCAATCCATTTGAGGTTCAGGATTTGGTGGTGGTGGTGGTGGTGATGGCGGCAGCGGCAGCGGCGGAGAAAGTTCTTGCCATGTCCTACTAGTTGTAATTGTAGTACTTGGTGTAATGATTACAGATTCTACGTCGGAGTCATCTGAACTATCTGAACTAGTGGGAACAAAGCATAGCTGATGATACCACCTTGTGGTTTGCCTTTGGCCACGGTTCAGTGGCATGGTTTTGCAAGGGCTGTGTTCAACTGTATAATATACTATATTGAAAGTCTTTAGCCATTTACCATATGCAATGTTTGTTTTCGGAGGAAGCTTCAACTTCTGATCATCTCAAATTTTATCTTCCCTTTGCTCCTTGGTCACTAAGCAATCATCTTTTTAGTTAAGTCTGCAAGTGGGTGCTGTCACATGCACACATCACAAAGCACAAACAAAAGGTACTGGAGCCAAATGAAACAACTGACTTTAAGCACTTGGAAAAGTGAAAGATGAGATTGTGCAAATATTATATTTGTGATCCTTGAATTACCCATCTTCTTTCCTTGTTTAAGAAGCTATTTTGAACGATTGGACTTGGTTAAGATCTGATTTTGTTGCTATTTATTTTCTGGGGCTAAATTTTGTGCACAATGTAAGAGTGACAAAGTATATATCCCTATAGGTGGGTCATGTGGTACATTTCCTTTCATCATTGTTTAAAATAAATGAAGTGCAACTTTTCTTTTTGACAAACTTTATTTCTATCCTTGTCATCAAGTCATTTAATCAAATACTTATATATGAATATTTTCTTAAAGGTCTATAATTAATACATATTTAATGAAAGTTATATTTTACTCTAAGGACTCTATGTGTTATCATTTAGATTTAACTAGAATGCAATTATGAAACGAAAGAGTTTTATTTTATCATTACCAAGGTTTAATGGTGGAAATCTTGTTAAGAAGCGAAGCGAATTAACTCTTAAAAAGATAATTTTCCACGGTAACTAATAATTATATTTTACTCTTGGAATATATAGTTAAAATTAGTGCGTCAATTAGTTTCTATCCGACTAACAAAGTCATGTATGCATGAATATTTAAAATATTTGAAAGTCTCATGTTAATTAGTGTAACATCATTTTTGAGATCACGTGTAATTAATTAATTTAAGAAAAGTATTATTATAAAATAGTGAAAAGTTAAAATTTTTATTTTATTATTGTAAACATGATTAAAATCATGCAACAATAATTAATTCAATTACAATTTATAATAATATTCAAAATTTTAAAATTAAAGTGTATTATTATCTCAAATATATTTCAAAAATCTTTTATAACATTTTTCACCTGTCTCCTCACTCCAAACAACATAACAACAATCCATAATCACACTCAAACTACATGACAAGCAATAGGGTAACATAGTAGCCTAAAAATGTACTTGGTAAAGCCCTAAAGCTCACAATTACAACTAAAATAAGGTAATATGCTTCAAAAATCACCATAACAAGGTTAACACCTCGGCACATGCATTAAACAATTCGACAAGGACTCAAATATGTTGTATAAGTTGACAATAAAAGAATTAAGATCACGAACAAAGGATTTTCCGAGCTGTGTAGATCATTGTCTTTAAGGACTTATTAGCGGTGTATTGCACAAGCCCTCCATGATACAACTAGAACTTTTTATAAATTTTTGAGGATCTCAGAACTAGGAAGGATATCTAAAAAGAGTACAAAATAAACCAATATTTTCTTAGAAGGAAAAAGAAGAGAGAGAATGAGAAAATGAGAGGAAGAGATAAAATGATTTTTGGAGTGAAACAAGTGCCCTATTTATAGATGTTGAAAAGGAATGATCCAATGTAAAAAAAGAACTTGTGGAAGAAGTTGCCCAAAACCGATTCCATGCCTTACGGGAGGAGATATCATAGAATGTAATATCCAAACTAATTACCGAGCTTTGTAGGAGGATATTTGACGAAGGAGAGAGAGAAAACATTTATTCAACAACGTTACGTTTCTCAACCTTTTTGGGAGAATTTTTGCAATATCAATATAACAATCCCCACATATTGCAAAAGATCAAACATTAACTAAAGAAATAGAAAGAAATATCCTGGTTTTCATAAGATGTAATGCATCAGAGCTGGTATAGCAAGCTATATGAAGCAATCTTAGATCAAGAAACTTAACACACATTGTAGTTTGTATAGCAAGCTATATGAACCAAAGACACATGAGTGTGTTAGAGGTTTATCAATTACAGTACACCCCCGTAATCCTTGCTGTTATCGCTGTATTGCGCTTACTAGGCCATGCGCGTGCCCGATATTCATGAATGCTTTAGAGATCATGCCAAGATCTCATGCAAGCGACTCCACTTGACACTCATATAGGTGATTTCATCAAGTTTACGTTGTAAATCATACACCACTTGTAAGGGATATGAAGCTCATTAAAATTTTTGTTTAATTACAAAGTTTAACCTCTCAAATATGCAGTCTCTAGCATTTTCACACACACCATAGTAATGGACATATTTGATTTGAAATCAAATTAGTGCTATCAGAACTAACAAGTGACTTATTTTTACCTATATGAACCTTCATGGGATCTCTAATCACAAAGGTTGGGTTACCATCACTTGTTTGTTTGCTAGTGGCTTAAGTCCCATTCCCCTCGATGTTTCTAAGATCATATTTCTTCCCAAGGGTTTTGTTAAAGGATCAACTAGATTTTGTTCTGACTTCACATAGTCAATGGAAATAGTTCCACTCTTTAGCAACTGCTTCACCAAATTGTGTCTCAATTGTATATGTCTATTCTTTCCATTGTAATTCTTATTTTTAGTTATAGCTATTGTCGATTGGCAATCGTAGTGTATTGATACCGATGGGGTTGATTTCATTCCTAGTGGAATGTTTGCTAAGAAGTTTTTCTACCATTCAGTCTCACTACCAACCATCTCAAGAGCGACAAACTCAGATTTCATTGTTGATCTTGCAATAATTGTTTGTCTGGCTGATCTTCATGTAATCGCACCACCCACAAGTGTGAATACATAACCACTAGTGAATTTTGTCTCATCCGAATCAAAGATCTAGCTAGCATCATTGTACCCTTCTAGTACAACGGAAAATCCACTATATTTAATGGCATAATCCATTGAACCTCTTGAGTATCTCATTAGCCTAGAAAGTGCATCCCAATGTTCTTGGTTTGGACATTGAGTGTGCCTACTCAGTCTACGTACTGCATAAGCAATATCAGGTGTAGAAAAGCTCATCAAGTGTAGTAAGCTCGCAATTGTTTAGGCATACTAAGGTTTAGATATAGATTCTCTTATATTTTTCATTAATTTAGAGTTAACATCATAAGGGGTACTCACAAGTTTGAAGTCATAAAACCTAAACTTTTTAAGAAGTTTCTCAATGTATTGTTCATGGGATAGTAATATACTATCTGCCTTCCTTATGATTCCAACACCTAAAGTTACATTGGCTTCACCCATGTATTTCATTTCAAAGTTTGATCCTATTAAGAGTTTAGTTCTAACAACAATCTCATTGTATGTACCAAAAATTAACATGTCATCCACATACAAACATATAATGACACCATCACCATTTTCATATTTAGAGTACACACATTTATTAGCATCATTAGGTGAAAAATCATCACATAACAATACATTATCAAGTTTTTCATTCCATTGTTTTGGTGCTTGTTTCAACCCATACAAAGATTTTAAAAGTTTACATACTTTATTCTCTTGACTCGATACACACCTTTCAGGTTGAGTCATATAAATTTTCTCCTTGAAATCACCATTCAAAAAGGAAATTTTAACATCCATTTGGTGTATCACTAGCTTATGGATGGCTGCTAAGGCTAACAAAACTCAAATAGAGGAAATCCTAGTCACAGGGACAAAAGTGTCAAAGTAATCTATGTTGGGTTTTTGAGTACAACCTTTTGCTACTAATCTTGGCTTATACTTCTCTATAGATCCATTACGATGATACTTTTTCTTAAAGATCCACTTACAACTAGAGGGACATTATGTTCAGCATAGCCTAAAAACATGCAATCCGAGGTTTTTGAGCCTATTTTCCTTTTCTTAGGATCGGGTAACATCACCTTAGCTAGGCACCCCCACACTCTTAGATATTTAAGGTTAGGTTGATAACCTCTTCATAGCTCATAGGAAGTTTTACCAGTTTTCTTATGAGGTATTCTATTTTGTAAAAAACACACAGTAAGCAAGGCTTGTCCCCAAAGGTTATCAAGTGCACTATAACTAATAAGCATTGCATTCATCATTTCCTTAAGTGTTCTATTCTTTCTCTCAACTACTCCATTTGACTCAGGTGAATATGGTGGGGTTACTTCATGGATGATACCTTTTTTAACACAAAAGTCATTAAACAATACATATTTACCACCTCAATCTGATATAATCCTCTTAATTTTCTTATTTAATTGATTTTCTACTTCTGCTTTATAGGTTACACTAGTGCAACGAAGGGAAACGACATGGGTTATTTTTGACAATATGCTTTGACTTTCGACCGACGAGGTAAAAAGGTGGGGGACTTTTGCCCTCGGTTCAAACCGAGGTAATACATCAAAGGTTTCTGTTTCGGTTTCCCTGTACCCGAAGTAGTAAGAAAGAAAAAGGGGGGGAGGGGGGGGAGAGCAATTATTACCTCGGTTCAACCAAGGTAATAACATGGGCTTATGGCAGCGGTTCAGGCTAGAA